TTCTCTAAAAATGAAAGGAAAATGAAAATGAAATAAAAGGTAAAACTAAAATTTATATTCATGGGTCATTCAGAGTCAAAATTTGCTAAAAATGAAATATTTTTTCTTCTGGAGTGTGACTTTCCAGCACAGAATGAGTGATTATCCTTTATTGCTTAATTAATTATAGTTTATATCATTTCCAGACAGAGCGCATGGTGCTGAAGACTTTACACAGCTTATCTTTAAAGACCTTTTCTACATACAGCTTCCTGTCCCATTTTAGAGTTCAGAAAGACACACACCCCGTGTGTGAGGTCTGAACTGATTTAGAATACGTGGCACCACATGCACAAGATTTCTGCCAGTACATATAGCACATCAGAAAGTACCACCAAACCTTACTGTAAGCATAATGAGGCGCCTAGTGCAGGAAGTTGAGTTTAGATGTCATGAAAGGATGGCAGATCTGCTAGTAATTTGATGCTTTATTGCTGGAAATGAAGAGAGGTGTTTGTAGGATTCTCTGATTCATGTCAAAATAACTTCGCTGGTTTGAGATACTATGTAATTGGACTTGGATGAACAAGGTACCATGTGCTCCTCTGCCTCAGGTAAAACCATAGTATCTTCAGGGAACCATAGTATCTTCCACACAGTACTCTGTCAAAAACCTCCAGTCGGTGCTACAGCGCTAAACCAGGATTTCATGCAGATTTGAGCAGAGAGCATCTTTAGGGACCAATGTTAGCAGAAAAGCTATCAGACTGAAAAGGTGAAGAAGCTCTCCTCCCCTATGGCTCGTCTGCTTTCCATTGTGTAAACAACATTTCATTTTGTAGCAAAATAATAATAATCATAAGAACAAACTACACCTAGCTGTGCATCAAGTATAATATATATATATTGCTTTAAAAGGGTGGAAAACTTCTCTGCCTGCCCACCTGACCCTTTCCTCTCATTCCTCCTGGAGGTGAAAAAGGGCTGCTTGGGAGTAGTGATTCCGAGCTGAAAAGTAGACTGAAAAAGAAAGGATCGCACATAGGGTGGCCACAAGAAAGAGACATTGAGGATCCTGTACCTTTGAGACTCGTGTGACAATGTCATGTTCAGACTGACATGCAAGTTACATTTGCTGGAAAATTCCCTGTTCCGCGTTAAGTATTAAAGGCACAGGTACTCTGTCTTTTCTTCATAGAGTAGCCTCATTAAGCAATGTGTCTCCATGTGTTCATCTTCTGGTCAAATACACACTGTTCCAGCCAATTTGAATATAGATATAGCAGAAGGCATCACAGAACTACACATAATGCCATTTTAAACTTCAGTAGAAATATAGGTCATATCAAAGCCCACTACAGCATCCTGGAGAGACTGTCTACTTTATGTGAAAATATGGAGCATGTTGCCGCTGTTTTGAGGGGCTCTTTGTCCTTACATAGCTGCCTGAGGCATACATATTCTGGAAAAGTCTTTTTTTCCAGATCAACACTGAGCCACGGATAGTTGCCTTAGAGGACTGGTTGTTAGTCAAATTCCTCAGCTTGCCTGTTTTAAAGCCTGCCAGCTGATCTCCATCTGGATGTGGGCTGTGAGCCACCAGCAGGTAATTGCTTAAGCAAGCAGGGCCGTGTTAATTCGAACTGCTGCGGCCAGGGACCCGATCTCAGTTAGTCTTGGCTCTGCAGCAGCTACTATGGGAGAAGTGAATCCACAGGGATTCCAATTCAATTTTCCACAGCATTGCGACTTCCAAAAATAAAGCTCAGCCAGAGAAATCAACAGGATTCTTGAAAGACACAAAGATCTACAGGGACATTAAAGCTGGGCAGATCAGAGGTTCCCTGTGTGCTGTCCTTACAGATGGCTGTGGCATTCAAGAGCAAACCCACACACCAGCCACCTTTAAATTGTCCCTTTCCAACCATGCAGGAGCAGAAACCATGTAAAACAATCTGTGTCATTGTGACCTTGTCTTTCACAACAACCAGCTATTTACTCTATTTCCATTCTGGTTTTAGTCTGTCCCACCCTTGGGAAGTGGGTTTCTTCTAAAGGGCAGTTCCTTTGCTTTGATCTTCTTGACTGCCTCTCGTTATGACTGGTATGTCTCCTCTTTGACTCCTCGCTTGTACTGGCCCATGATGACCTCAAACACAATTGTGATCCTAGATGCTAGCCCTAGTTCTGTGTTCCTGGCTAGGTCTTGCAAACTCGTTGCCATTTTTTACTTATCTGTTTTCAGCCAGTGATCTACTGTATTCTGGGAGACCCTGAGTGAAGCCTATGCAATGAAAAGAGTCATACTGCCTGACAAACACTTCTGAACAAGAGATTGCTTCTTGCCACAAAACTCCCTAAATATGGTGCAGCTACAGAGGAACGCCATATGTGAACTTCTAAGGACCAAAACGGGTGTCTAAAAAGATCTGCTTCAAGAAGGAGTGCTCCCTCAAGTGGTGAAAAAGACAGAGGAATGCCATATGTGAACTTCTAAGGACCAAAATGGGTGTCTAAAAAGATCTGCTTCAAGGAGTGCTCCCTCAAGTGGTGAAAAAAGGTATAATAGTGAAAACCTATTTTTAAAAAAGAAGCATGTGTCATCACAATTATCTCTGGAATGCAAACAGAACTCCCTATTCATGTTTAATTCTAGAGTTATGCCTAACAAAGCAGATCACATTGCCTGGGAGAAAAAAAAGTATAAGAACAAGAAAGCTGCATTTCTCGGAATATGTGTGCCCACCCTAATTTGCACATGGGGCAATAGTGACACCTAACAGCTGGCCAGTGCTTAACGAGCTAGAACAGGTTCTCTGAATCATTTGCAGTATCATTCAAGGAATACAGTGAATTTCTGTACTTCACTATACTTTTGGCCAGAAACATGGCTCTACCATAAGCTCTTTTTGTAGGTCAAGGTGGAATGTTTTCTGATATAGCAAAGAGTGAGGTTGCCACTTCTCCAGACTACAGCTAACGTGTTGAGAATGGTATTTGCTTCTCCCACTCAGCTACCTGGTTTTTGTTTTTTGCTCGACACTGAACAATGTCAGCATCATCACAATAATCAAGCGAGCAACTACTAGGTGCTGCTGTTGTTGTTGTATTCAATGCAGAACATGTAGCAAGGCAGCTGAATTGAGGGAATGTTGCCGAACACAGGGAGAGCCTGTTGGCTGACAGGGCAGAGCAAGAACAGTTTAGGTATCCAAAAAGCACAATGCAATCAGCCTTCCTGTAGCACAAGGATATGCAACTCTCAAGCGAGTCTCTGGGTGCGTTTCTGAGTTGGGGGAAGGGGCAGCAGAGCTCCATAGTAGTAGGTCAATAGGGGGGCCCCAACTTATTGAGCCACCCATTTGGGACTGGAGCGGTGGCCCTGGTTTGTGTTGCTGGTCCAGGGAAGATGGCAGCAGTGCAAAGGATGATGGAAGGTCAGCTGCATAGGTTGGCAGCCTCCCATTGGCTGCAACAAATTTGAAATCCAGACTTCAGGCAGGTGGACTAGATTGATGCCGTGTTCCCTCCTGTGTCCATCTCCTGTGCTTAAAAGCAGGAGTCCAGAGCCTCCCCAGCCAGTGTGACTGGGTTCTGGTCCAACACACCCAACTTTTATGTTCTTCCCACACAGAGAGTAAAAAAGAGGCTTCTGGTTTAACGCTTATTTAACAACAAGGGGGGGGGAGTTGTTCCACCACCACCTCAAAAGGTTAATCGTTACATGCCAATGGGCTAAACTTGTTCACCAAACCCATACCCAAGGCTGCCAAGACATCCCGACTGAACACTTGACCCCACAAGATCTCTCCCAGCTGTACCAGGGGAAATGCGCAAACATTTCAATGAAAACTGAAATGTTTCTGCCAAAAGTCATGTCTGGCCTTGGGGGGGAGGCGCAGATATGTGGCCCATGGGACACGCACTATAGCCTATTGCATGGTTGGGGGGTGGGGGAGGTTGTTTGTTTAACTGGGCCATCTGCCTGGCTAAACCTATTTCTTTCCTTGCAAGCCCACTTGGTATGATGGATCTCTACCGATCTCCACCTCTTGAGTTCTCAAATGAGGCTCCAATGATTAGTATTCTGGGTTTAACTACCAATTAAGCAAGAGATAAATAGCAGCCATAGCTCCTGCCTTCCTGATGCTGCTATCTACTGCCTAGCCTCACTATATATAGTGAGTAGAACTGCAGGAGCACTAAACTCCCAAGTAAAAAAAAGAGGACAGCCAGAAAGTACAGGAAGGAAACTGACTGTCAGGTTAACCTGCTTCTCCACTCGCAATATAATTTATTCAGAAGCACTGTACATGCCACAGCAATCAGACTTGCAAATTAAACCCATGTTTTCCTTCCAATGACCAATCACAAAACAAATCCCACTGAATGCAAGATGCATAGAAGAGGAAGATCACATGCTAATCATAATCACATTATCTTGTTTGCCCTTATCAAATTACAGAAGTTTGAATACTTTGGGCATCCTTGTTTCTTTCTGTTTGTGGTATACTACAATTAGCCATTCTGGAAGGTTGGCTACAAACAAGTACTATCTGCACCTTTTAAGTATGGTTTAGACCAATTTGAGCCAAGTTAAATACAACATGAGGAAATCTTACCCATGCAACTGGCTTGCATGGCAAGCTTCTTATTTAAATCAATGTCTCTTGACTACTACGCCCCCAGTGTAAACCTTTTAGAAAGCATCCACATTGGCCACAGATCCCTAGTATGCTAATGCTATAGAAGGGGGTACCACAACTCAGGACTGCTGGTAATGTACAATACCATGGGAGCATTTGTTGTTGCCTCTCCCATCCGGCCCCCACCCAGAACCCAAGCAAAATGTACACAAAAACACTAGGTGAAGCAACCAGCACCGTAAACCTCAAAAAACAAACTTTGAAACCTCTCCTTATGACTGCATATTTCTGGCAAGTTCTTTGAGAACAAAGCAAAAACCTGCTGGAGAACTAGCAGTGGCAGTAGCTTTTCAAATGAAAACAAACTCGGGTTACCCTCAAGCATCACAGTGGAGGTCTTAGTCTTCTGCGCACCCACCTCCTGCAATCATACCTGAATCACCATGATCTCCTCTACTGGCAAGAAACCTCAGCTGAAAGTTGTAGTGCACGCAGGGAAGAGGTGGCTGAGTTGACCACAGCAGCATTGCAGCAGGAGGAAGAGATTTAATTGCACACCTCCAGGAAAGAGTCTTGTCTCTGCCATGAAAGGTACAAGAGCTCCATCTGGTGAAAAGAAATCTGTTAAATCTATTTGAGGTGGTAAAATACTTTGCTTCACTACCTTAGGCTGCAGTCACACTGGCAATACGAACAGCATTTAAGCATCATGTAAATCGATTTAGACTTTATCATTCATACGACACAAGGGGGAAATCGATTTATATTGACTGCAAACCTAGTTTTGTACAATTGGCTGGCAGGGGCTTTTTAAAACACCCCACTTCTAAAACCGATTCAATTCAATGTGGTTTTGTGGATGCGAATGCTGCTGTCATTTTAATTTGTGCCTATTCCTGTAGTGATGTACGGAAGTGAGAGCTAGACCATAAAGAAGGCAGACCGCCGAAGAATTGATGCCTTTGAATTGTGGTGCTGGAGGAGGCTCTTGAGAGTCCCCTGGACTGCAAGGAGAACAAACCTATCAATTCTAAAGGAAATCAACCCTGAGTGTTCACTGGAAGGACAGATCCTGAAGCTGAGGCTCCAATACTTTGGCCATCTCATGAGAAGAGAAGACTCCCTGGAAAAGACCTTGATGTTAGGAAAGTGTGAAGGCAGGAGGAGAAGGGGACAACAGAGGATGAGATGGCTGGACAGTGTCTGCGAAGCAACCAACATGAAATTGACACAACTACGGGAGGCAGTGGAAGATAGGAGGGCCTGGCGTGCTCTGGTCCATGGGGTCACGAAGAGTCGGGCACGACTAAACGACTAGACGATGATATGAATTATGGGTATAGGGGCACCACCATTTTTCCTTTAATTTTTTTTCCAAATTCTTTCTTAAAATGTTTACTGCTGAATCACTTTATCAATACATTCAGCATTACAACCACCTACCCCATTCTCTCCATTCAGCTGATGAAGGAGCCAGCGGAGAAGCAGAAGACCAGCAGGTGCAGAGCAGGTACAGAGCAGGCACAGAATGCTTGGGCCTGCACACAGAGGATGGTCCTCGTACCAGGAGCATCACCCTGCAAAGCAGCTGGAAACCTTCTCTCTCACTTTCATTTTTTCATCATTAATTGACTGGGGTTGCCTCTCCAGTGTTTCCCCTGTGGTTTCGAGTGACTATTATGACACCAGTTGGCACCTCCTAGACCAGTGATGGCAAACCTATGGCACGCATGCCACAGCTGGCACACAGAGCCCTCTCTGTGGGCACACGAGCCATAAGTCGCCATAGAGAAATATTTACCTATCCTCCGATCCCGGATTTTGGCACTCCCCTCTGTTGGTGCAGTGGTCCAGCAGAGGGGCACAATGGTGACAATTACCAGTCTAGCCCAATGGGGGATTGGAGGACCAGTAAGTATTTCTTTGTTAATACTGTCCATTGGATGGGTGGGGGAAAACCAAGCATTTAACGCTTGCAGTGCAGGAGCACTTGTTTTTTCTAAACTAAACCTCAGCTTTTGTGTTTTAATTGCAGTATTGGCACTTCAAAATAAATAAGTTGGTTTTGTGTTGCAGTTTGGGCACTCGGGCTCAATTTATCAATGTATCACTTACTTTAAAAAAATTAAAAATCAAAATCTTCAGGAACAGCATGCTCCTAAAACAGAAAGGAAATGAGTCCATTTCTGCAGTGTAGATGCTAACACCAGTTTAAATCACCAGAAATAAATCAATTTTGATTCAGTGCATGTGAATGCAGCCACCACTTTAAATACCATGACTTGAACCTGATTTTTTAAAAGTCTGAACAGAAACCAATTCAAATTGCCAGTGTGACCACAGCCCAAGTTTCTATGTTGATTTGTTTGCTATTGCTGCCATTCCTAAGTTTGCCTAACCAAAGAACAAAGCCCACAACACATGGATTCAAAAGATATGTAAAGCTACTCCAACTATTGGGAATTAATCTGTCTTGAAGTTACATCTGTAGCAGCATGTTGACTGGAAACCAAAGCAAACAGGTTTTGACGTTGCATGTCTGGATGAGAAAGAAGATTAAACATTGACTGGCTTGTAAGAATTCTTTTGTGTCCAGCAAGGATTGGCAGAAGATAGATTGGGATCTACTGAGAGATCTCTGTGTAAATTTGCAACTGTGCTAATTGCAGAGTCTGGAAAGTTAAGAAGAATGAATGAAATGTCACACCAAGATTATCCAGAATTGAGCAGGGATAGAATGGAGCTTTGGTTTCTAGACTTGCAGATGACATGGTTGTTGTCTCCCACACAAAGGCATATTTAATTCCTACTTAAATTTTAGTAATCAGTAAATATACATTCATCCACTAAATGAACATATGCAAATGGGTACTAACTCTTTTTTGACCCTTATATATACATGGCTACCCTGTGCAGAAAAAGGGTATAAAATCTTAATAAAAATACTAATCAGTAAACTGGGAGAGGGAGGGAGAAGAAAAGAGCAAAAGCACTTTGGACTGATCTGGGCAAAATCTAACATCATCGTGTCAATGGCTAAGCCCTGTTTGAACGTCTGCAGAGCCTTCCTCCTCCTCCCCATCTCAAGGTCTCCTACAGACTACAAGGACCTCAGATGAGGGGGCCCTCTCTCACATACACACGTTTCCCTTTCTCCCCACAATTTTTGTCACATTTTGCCTGAAGAAGAAATCTGTGCTTTCAAAAGCCTGCATACACTTTGTGCCTTTTTTTGTCTTAACAAAAGCATGCCTTGTTGGAATTTATAAAAAGGAAGAATCCCACATTCCTGGGAGATTCTGCTCCTGGGCTCCTTTCTGAGGAAAAGTGTTACTGTGGTGTTCCTACGAGAGGAAGATGAAGGATGTGGGAGACAGTTATGGCTGAAGTCTCTCCTTTCTCCTCCTAGCATAAGAGCTGTAGCAAAATCAACATGTGTTGAAGCAGAGGCAGCGAACAGTCTGGGAACACAGGCAAGGTTGGTGGGGCTCCTGTGAGGAGCTAGCATGACTAACACAGGCTCTCCCACATGGGTCTCCCTTTTGTCCCAGGAATGTCATACATGGGTCTGTGTCCCCAGGAGCTCATATTTACACCCTATTATTGGCTGTTCTTCCAGGCCGGGACACACCATGCTGAGATGTTCTTCTGAAAGGACAGAGGATTGTTTGGCCATCTGTGACGCCTTGCCTTGCGGATGGCAGAGCAGAGAAGAGTCATGCCTGGCTGAGACAGACAAAAGAGATTAAAGAGATGTTAAATACCGATTCTCCTTTCAGCAGTTCCCAGAAGCTGCTCAATGATCTGTAGGGAAAATGTTTAATTAAGCTGTTTACAATAAGTCTTGCAGAAAAAAAATGCCTACTCTTGTTGTTGAGGGGCATGAGGACAAAGAGGTGAGCTTGGGCACAGAACACAAGGGGGCATGGGATCTCTCAGGCCTTGGGTCAAAGCAAGGCTCTGAAAATATTTATCATTCTTCTCCTTATGGCCTGCCCATTCCTGGATTTCCAAGTGGTCCTCACTGATGCACAAAATCCCTCCAATTTGCCTCAGAAATGTTGCTCTTTTTCTTCGTTTCTTTCATTTTCCGGAAGAATTATTTTTAAACACAGTCATGCATATATGCTTATAAAGTTTGTAAAGGAAGGGGGGAAAGCAGAGTTTAAAAGGAAATAGATAAAGAAGTTGTCCCTCTTCTGCTGTGCCAAGGAATCGTTCTCTTGTACAAGGCTTTTAAATTGGCTACTCATCTCTCCTCCACAAAACCCCACCATTGAGCTATCTGTGTGCGTTTTGCTCAGGCTTGTAAATTCCAGTGAATACTTTTTTAGGGAAGACGTAGGACACGTGTATTTTCAATGAACTGACCTATTTTTTAAACTCAACACTGATCATAGAAAGCACAGGAAGTTGTCTTTACTGCTGCTTTTTCTTGCAAGTGAACATGATTGTGTTCAACCTGGGAAGCAGCAACTATATGCCTACTCTAGTTTACAGCATTTCTTGACAAAATATTTACGACTGTAAAGTTTGTTTAGTGGTTGGATCAGGGCAATATCCTGGAAAGAATCAGGTGGCCTCATCTGAGAGCTAGGGTAAAAGAATAAACCAAAAAGCCATGCTTACAAATACAAGACACACTACGATTTCCTACAGAATTTGCTGCCCAGTCAGATCTGAAAAAAAGTTCCTTATACTGCTGCCTTTCTGGGAAAACCCCATAGCCAGCATAGATAGGTGGACAGGTGGATTCAGTATACAACTGAACAGCTGTTTCATAAAAGGCATGATATGAGCTTCAGTACATGGAACAGTGGTGAGGAATACTGGAACCACTGAGTTTTCTTCTTAATTTAAAAAAATGGCACAAGCTTTTGTAGGTGGCAACCTGCTTTTGCTCGGTTGGGAGATGCAGAAATGAAGGCGCAAGAGGTGACTGGGGAAAATCATTTTGAAGACTATATGTACACAATACTAGTATACAATATGCACAATATTTACAGTATACAAAGAAACTATACAGTACATTCATTCAAACCTCTAATACAGTACATTTTCTGTATACATTTTTGTTCAGCTAATGAATGTTCCATATGTCCGCACATTTTGCCTTCCTTCAAGACTTTGTTCTGAGTACTGTCACCACTGTAACCATGCCCACTGTTTTCCTAGCATTTTTTCACCTTATATCCAGTGTGTGACCATGGAGACCTTGCCCTGGGACCAGATCATGTATTAAGTAGAGTGTGTATTAGAACCTAAAATCAGCCAGTGTTCCAGCAAGGAGATTCAGGCAAGCCCTTGAGACTGAACTCATACTACACTTACCTTCTGATGACCAATCACAGAACAAAGCAAGCTAATTTGGAGGCAATAAGAGGAGCAAAAAGCTCATGCTGTGACAATCAGATGTTTTCAGCTCTTACAGAATTCTTTCCTCTGATGATGCAATGCATAATCTGACCCTTAAAGACAGGTAACTTTGCCCGTGCCTATACAAGAAGGCTGAATAACAGCAAGAACTTCCTCTCAGCCTGTCAGATGAAA